AAACATAAATGTTAGCAAAAATATGAGTATCTAGAAAGATCGAGGAACTTGTCGAACGTCCTAGCGTTATAGAATATAAGTGCACCAGATAAAACGCAATTAACTGCTGTACCGTACAGCAGAACATAGCTTTCAAAGAAGGAATCTAAAGAACATTACACAAGTATATACATTATTACAATTTACAAATAAGTTTTTAAATCTCAGTTATCTCTCTTAAAACATAGAACAGTAAACAAAGAAGTATAGAAAACAATTATCTCTTCTAGTTACAAACTTTGTACTCATTTGCTGTTTGCCATAAGTTGCTAAGCCTTATCAAATTTCGCACATGGAGAATGTAAAACAAAATAATTTTTTTTAGGTTTTATATATGCATTCTGAAATAACAAAAAATCACAAGTTACTATATTAATATCACACAATTCCACTATAATTCATCAAGCCGTATTTGGGTCTAAAAAAATGTGATATTTCGAGCTCACTAATGTCTAAACTTTGAATCTAGCATGAAAAGAAAGAGTTTCCGGTGAAAATACTTTGCAGAGACTAAGAAAACCACTAGGTGGACATTCTGGGCTTTCGATTGGTTATACATACATCATTTGGTAAAATAGGTGTATGTAAGCAAGCATTTTAAAAAAATAGAAGATGTGGGCAAGGCCAAGGTGGTTGAGTCAATAAATGTATTAATATTTCAGAAAATAGAAAAGATAGGAGGTTCTTATCTTAGATTCTAGTTTGTCAATATCAATAATTTGAGTATCTAATTTGTAAGAAACTATAAGCTTTGTACTTGGACATCACAAACATCTAATTTGAACAATGCTGCATTCAACATACCACATGACACACAAAAATCGAGGTTTAGATGCGTTTTTTAATATGTACTTTTAAAATAAGAAATTAACTAATGTAGAATACTAAAATTTGAATTATAATCTACAAATTGATACCAAACTTATTCATATAAGTTCATAAAATAGTAGTTCAATAACATATTTAATGCGAGTCTGCAAAAGCAATGACATGGCCTTTGACCCGTGACTATAGGTAGACCTGTGTCAGTAGGGTTAAAGAACAATAAAATTAAATAAAAATAGATGTAAATTGTTACAAGCCTGTGGCTGTTAAGGATAAATAATTATAATTTTCTGTTAAAATCTGCAGTCATTCTAGAATGAAAAAAGGGTAATTTAGATTTTTTTGTACTTTTTTTGTGGTTGGTCAAATGTTAGGGTAGAAAAAATACCAGATAAAAGTCATACGAAAAAAACACAAAAAAAAACAGCCTTCAATATTCATTTCGGATGTTCTAAAGGTTATACAATAGAAATTTAAAAAGT